TGAGACACAGACCGACTGACAGACAGAGTTACGGGAAGAGGCGGGGAGGGGGTGTCAGAGTGACCAAGGGGGATAGAGACAGAGGGACAGAGTCCTAGGGAGAGACAAAGAGACGTGGGGGCAGGGGCTGGACAGAAAGGCAGCCAAAAACAGGCGAACTAGAGGGACACAGAGGACGAGAGAGAGAGAGAGAGAGAGAGAGAGAGAGAGAGAGAGAGAGAGAGAGGAGACAGAGTGAAGAAGACAGATCTAGAGGAAGACAAAGTTCTGGAGGAGTCAGCCCCTCGTACCCTCTCTGCTAAGCGGTCTTCTCACCGCCCAGGTTGGGGGATGGGGTCTTAGGGCTGTAGTTCTCCTCCCCCGGTGCCCCCTCAGCTCTCTGTCCTCCACGCGTGTCCGCGAATCCGCGCGGAAGAATCAAGACATACCTCCTCCCGCATTCCCAGGACCCCCCACTTAAATCCAACCCGGGATCAAACTGGGGGTGGGGGGCACAAGAGCAGACGGAAAGGAGCGGGGCCCACTCGTGGCCACGTAGGCGACTCCCCAGGCTCCCCGGAGTCCCCTGCCGCCGCCACCCCCACGCCTGCGCCTCGACTGGCCGGGTCCGGGGAGGGTGGGAAGGGGAGAGGGGGCCACATCTAAGCCAATTTTGATTTCGCCTATAATGAGTGCCGGGCGAAGGCTGGAGAAGGCCTCTGGAACTTTAAATAAGAAAAACGTTGCTAATGCTATAATAGAAGGGGGAAGTCGGAGGGCTGGGATTGCGTCGCTCCGAGCCCCCCTTTTCGGAGGCGGCTTTTCTTATTCAAAACAGGCCCACAATGGGCTTCACAGTGCGCCTCGCCACGGCCCCATCTGACGAGCGGCCATTCATCAGGCCGGCTGGCCTATCAATGACATTGCTCCCATCGGGGCTCCTATAAAATGATGCTTTTTCCCATGAAACATCCGCAAACATTTTGACGGGTTTGGCTTTGCCCGGCTGGATTTCTGCGTGTCTCCTCGCTCGCTGGCTTTCTCTCTCCCCCTTCTCCGAGCTCTCTCCCTTCTCTCTCTCTCTCTCTCTCTCTCTCTCTCTCTCTCTCCTTCTCTTCTTTCTCTTTTCTTTCTTCTTTCTCTTTCTTTCTTTTTCTTCTCCCCTTTATCCTTTTCACTTTCCACTCTGCGTTCTCTCGCTCCTTCTCCCCTTCTCACTCCCTTTCTCCCTGGGCGGCTCTAGCACAGGGGATCCCCAAACATCAGGACTTTTGGGGGGCGCCTGTGCTGTCCATGGGAAGAGCATGCATTGTGGGTTACTGGAGGAACCCGACATGGATTCCACAGGTTAGTCCTACTGGTGGGGGTTGGGGGGAGACATTGGGAGGGAAAGAGAGGGAGAGGGGAAACTTCAGAAAGAGTTGCAAAAAGTTCAGAAAGGTCAACTTGACAGTGGAACCCCAGGAGATAACGGAAAGCGTGTAGAAGTTTTCAGTCCGGCACGATGCGTGCAAGTGGATGCGTGCAAGTGTGTGTGCAAATGTGTGAATGTGTATGCACGCGCGCACGCGCCGAGGAGCGCGCTTTCTCTTGCTCGGGACACAAAGTTACGTAAAGATTCGCTGGCTCGTGGCGAGCTCGAGGTGCCACTTGCAGAAACTTTGCGAGCGGACTGCCCCTTCCGGGCGCGGTTCCTCCCCCAGGTGGGGGCTCCGGAATAGCGGTGCGCTCTGGGCTGGTGGCGAGGGCCTGGTAGCCAGGCGGAACGCCCCGGAGGCGGAGGCGGAGTAGGGCTACGGCTTTGCACAGCGCCTGGGAGGT